TTTTTTTTTTTTTTTTTTAAATCGATGGAATTAGGGTTTATGGAATAAATTCTCCTTTTGCAATCTGTTGTTAAGCACAAGGCGGTGCGTTCACGGCTGTGCATGTGTGTGCAAGGGGATGTATGACGGAGGGAGGGCGAGCATGTCTGTGTGCAGAGTCTGCCAAGGTGGAACTGACAGGAGCTGTGATTTGTGCTAACTAGCTATTGATCCAGTCAGATCGAGATGTTGTGTACAAGAAACAATAAAAGAGAAGGGGCCAGGAAGGATGCTGTGTGCAACTCCATTTAAAAATGGAAAAGAAAGGCCCCAAACAAACCAATTTATGTCCTTGCCTGGGTGAAGCACGGAGAATGCTGATGGGCTTCCTACAGTCTGCTGTGCATGCTAAACACTCCCGCTTCAAATGAGAGTCTCCTGAGCTGGGCATTAACCATGAACAAAGAGACAAACAGTGGGGGCGAGGATTCACGCTTCAGAAAGCCGAAGCTGGAGCACTGACCAGAACTGGGAGTGGGGAACTGATGGTGCCCCAAGCACCTGAGCTCCATCTCATTTCCCAACGCCCTTCTCAGTGAGATTACCGAGCACAAAACGCAGTAAAAAGTCAGTCTGTAAGACCTAGCCTAACAAAAACAATTCCAAACTACGCCGTCGTGTCAAAACTGCAACTTTCCTGGGCTGAAAAAAGGCATTTCTAGCGTGTAAATGATGCACGTGCACTTGTGGCACGTCACACAGCCACCCGTGTGCCCTCACACACGTGTGCCCATTGTAACGTCCCCACGGCGGGCAGGGAGCTCTAAAATACAGCCGTGAGACGACAGAACAGAAACCGACTGAATCCATAATCGCCTTTATCTTAAACAGCCTTTATCATAAGGAGTTCTCCATTAGAGTATTTTTTTCAGAGCTCGGAGAATTACGATGCCCCGTGGGCACGGGGAAGGATCAAAAATGACAATGAATGCCAAAACGAAACATCTGCCAGCTAAGCAAGTTTTACACCAGCGGACCCAGAACCTAAATTTAAATTTCCTTCCTACTAAAGAAAGAAACACCAAGAGCAGCACCCTGCTACCCGGCTCCTGGCACGTGCAGGACAATACCTGAAACTGCACGGGGATCACTAACAAATACACGTTCCCATGGCTTGGGCAGACCTCTCTAACAGCTCGGAGGAAGCGGCTGCAAAGCACAGCAGGTGAGGAGCCCCCCAAGCCCCTCCCCAGTGCCTGGCTGAGCCCCCACACCTCAGTGCCGCTAAGCTCAGAACCACGACCCAGGTCCCCGCCGGGCTGCGGCCGCTTTGTCCCCAGCACTGCAGCCCCACTGAGCTGTGAAGCAGGGTGAGGTTGGTGCACGCCTGGCAACCCCAACAGCACCCACAGTCCCCCCCCCCGTGGGCCAGGATGCGCGCGGGACAGCGGATACCTTCTTTGCTGGGGTTCGGGGGCTTGGGCTTCTCCCAAGGCGCCATGGGCTTGTCCTCCTCCTGCCCCTCCATCAGGGCCTTCTCACCAGGCAGGTACCAGGTGGAGTTGTGCTCCGCCATCAGGGAGTCCAGGTCGATGGTGCTCATGGCGTTCTTGACGCCCTCCGAACAACACCCGCCCAGGTCACTGTCCCCATTCTGCCCCGCGCACTCCCCCTTTTTGCTCTTCAGCCCCAAAGGTTGGTCTTCCGAGATGCTGAACTGCTGCCGCTGGAGCTGGATCTGCGCCTGCAGGATCTCCAGGGGGTGGATCTCGTCCTGGGCCGAGGTGCTGCTGGGGGTCCGCACCTGCTCCATGCCCGGCGTGCCGGGGTGCGCGCCCGCCGTGCTGCTGAGCCCGTAGCTGTCGGGGGTCGAGGTAGATGTATTGAGGAGGCCGAGGGCCAGGGGCTTCTGTCCGTTGAGCAGCGCGTGCTCCCCGCGGGGCAGCTTGGGCGAGCCGCCCAGCAGCGGGCTGCGCGTGGGCTTGGGGCCGGCGTTGTCGGAGCTGGACGACACCTCGTCTTCGTTGCCGTAGCTGGTGCTGACCTCGTCGGCGAAGTCCACGTGCGGGGAGCCGCCGTCCGACTTGGTCACGCTCTGGATGCCGCTGTCCAGCGAGGACATGAGGTCGGGCTGCTCGCCCAGCAGCAGCTCGCCGCCCTTGCCCCAGGAGGGCGAGGTCAGGGGCTTATCGTGGGGCGTGCCCCCGCCGCGCTCCGCGCCCGCGGCCCCCGGCGGACCCCCCGCGGCCGGAGGCGCCGGTTGCCCCGGGCTGACGCCCGCCCCGCCGCCCTCCGCGGCCGAGAACTTCTCGAAGAAGGTGCCGGGGCTGACGTGCCCGCTGTCCCGTTTCCGGCGGCCCCGCCCCCGCCCGCCGCCCGCCTTCCCCTCGCCGCCGGCCGCCGGCTCCAGCGCGAAGCCGGGCGAGAGGCTGCTCTCGGCGGGCAGCAGCGGGGCGGCCTTGCCCGCGCCCCCGCCCGCCGTCGGCCCCGCCGGGAAGTAGTCCGGGGCGGCGGGCGGCGGCGGGTCGGGCTCGGCCTGGCTCAGCTTGCGCTTGGCCTCGGCCGGGCTCTTCTTGTTGAAGGTGACGTTGAGGTTGGGGGCGCCCAGGCTGGCGATCATGTTCTGGCAGGCGGTGGAGAGGGCGGCCAGGCAGCTCTGGCCGAAGACGTTGTCCTTGCCGGCCGGCTTGCTGAAGGAGCCCAGCGACAGCGCGCCCAGCTTGCTGGCGGCGGGCCGCGGCGGCGGCGGCGGCGGCGGGAACTCGGGCGGCGGCGGCGGGTAGGCGCCGGGCG